GGCTTCTAGCACACTTTTTTTTTGCGGTATGTGCTTGCTTGGAAAGCAACGGTTCCTTTTGGCAATTTGAAGAGGTTCCCCGCTGGGTTATGCTCTATTACATTCAAATATAACAAGCACGAACATTCTAGAACATAACTAGACTAGATAGAACATTAACACCCAAAGGGGAGCAAACAGCAGTTTTTCGATTCCCTACCGGCATTCTAAACCCAACCCAGTCTGTTACGTCAAGAATGTTTGGAACTACTAACTGAAAATATTTTATCTCGTTTAAGCTGTGTGTGGTTTTCGTAATCTCGACAGATACTTTAGTGATCACTTGCGGTTGCTGAACTTAATCGTGGAAAACTTTTATCGGAAAAATTAAGTATGGGGAAAAAACATTATAACACTACCTCAGAATGAACATTTCATGTCTACCTCTCTTAACAATACGATCTAAAATTAACAAATTGATAGCTATAAATTGCGAGGTGTGCCCTTCTGTATCATTTTCCTTCCATCTCTAACTGCGGGGTGTACATCCCAAAACAGCTATTTATTCAGCAAGATGTGCCTACAGACCTGGTGAAATATTGTATTTAGAACACTAGGGTAAGTTTAAAGCTAGGCGACATTCGCCCCTCTGTTATAACAGAATTTGTTTCCTCTTGAGTATCTTCGAAAATATTTATTGGTCAATGCTAAGTCTGATAATTAAAATACCAAAGCATAGACGGTCACCCCTCCATGTTTCCCCGTTTTCAAAGGAAACATCGATACCTTTTTGGTTTAAATTGTGGTGTGATTAGAACAGAGTAAACAAACCGTCGGAAATACACCCCCGTACCTTTTTTTCCCCCCGTAACGGAAATACGTCAAACTCTCTAATTTTAGGCACGTTTCTCTTCACCTCTGTTAGAAAACGATCTCTAACACATACGACCTTCAATTTCCTCGTCCCAAAATAATCGGTACACAGCTTTCTTTCATTTTTTATCAAAACAAGTAGTTTCCCACTGGCAGCAACGGTCATTTTCTTTCTTCAGGGCTCGTCTTACCAATCACGTTGATCAAGTCTTCTTTCGGTGTCGTAATAAGACGTGTTTTTTCTTTCTTATCCAAGCATTGCGGTTATAAGCACTCTCTCTTTCGGCGGCCTGTAGGATGCGTTTAAAACAAATACAAGTCTCCGGATTAACCTCGACCGCGGTTAAACTTAAATACAGATATTTCGATACTTGGTCACGTTGACTTATTTCATTTTCAAAAATCATAGTTCCATGAGATGCGGGCTGAACTAGAGCAGCTTCAGTGGTCAAATATTTATTTAGCTGAGCGTGATGTTTATCCGCCTTCAGAAGCGACAAGATTACAGTTGAAAGCAGAAATGTTTTTGCCAGAGACCGCAATTTAGCCCCAGCGCATGGTATGACGCTTAAATGCGTACCAGACCACAAGTATATGGTATTGAATATCGGAAGTGTTGTCATTAGCGGCAACAAATCCGCCTGCAGCTTATTTACAAAAATAAAAAAAAATCGCGAGGCCAGAACTGCACCAATATTTTTGAGTAACTAGCCGTTTTCGCTGCCTCCACGATATCGACTTGCTTTTTTTTCGTGATTTAAAACGACGTATCTTCCATGCAATCAGCATGTAATCCTATCGCCTTCTTTTTATCGTGATTGAAGTCGTACAGTGCGCTCTTCACATATCTCGATTGCGCCGCTGTGACATAGAGATACAGCAGTCAAGCAGTCGTTTGATGGGCTCTGGGTTATTTCGGGTAGAAACAGTTTCCCGTCTAGTCGGGGTCTGACCTCCAAAACCATCTGCGTTTATTCCGAGTGGGAGATATTGCCCAATGGTGGCCAAACGTGGTACTAAAGAACTGTACACGTAGCATAAATAACCGTCCTGACATCAGGATTGTAAAAGTTTGCGATTTAACACGTCACCTTGTGTTTGAGCTCTTTCTCAGGCCTAAACTTCTCCTTGACCTGAACTGGTTTATTTTCAAAAACACATGCAGACGTTAATAGCGTTGAAAGAAGAGTGTCAAGTTGCGACTTGTCAAATTTATTTGCCCTCTCGCCTCTGTAAATCTCACAATCCGCCGAAACTGCACTGATTTGTACATACAACAGGCGTACGTAACGTAAGCATAATATCAAACGCGAGCGCTCACTTGTTTGCTCGTGAATAGGTATTTCAATAAGGTTAATTCACGCGGGCGCTTACGACATTTGTTCCACCTAGCTTTCTGTCGCCCTTTCCTGTTATTTTCCTGCAGTATATCTCACCGCTTCCCGCACGCAGATCCTTTACCTACGCAAAATTTTTGCGCCGTTAAGATTTTTCTTTAATTTTTGTCCGCTGTTGAGTTTTTCGCGCTCAAGGCTTAGGCACTGTGCTGCAACTGTAATTGTAAAAAGGCCCACTCTAACTCTGGCTTAATTCGATACTGTAAGAGATGTCATATTGAAGTCACCCCACCGCTGCGTCGCGTCAGCCGATCTCCAGTTTGATTCAAGAATGAAAATTTTCGCAACAGTTCTGTCATCGACACATGGAAGACACACGGACGGCAATAAGGCTATTAATTATCGCAGACGAGTATAAACAGTATGAAAAGCCCACGCATCCTGCGCATAGGACAAAAGAAAGTTTTACTCTCACACTACAACAAAGCCCAAAATAAAACTAGGTTGCCGTGGCTATTAGAGTAACACTTTCTCCGCCCACGTGGCTCGTGACAACTGACCAATTACAACGCTTTCGTAAGTGGTTTCAACCCACCTAAGTCCAGCGGGTGTTAAGGTCCTCAAAACAAGTCATTTGATTGGCTGCGGTTTGCCCAGTGTCCAATCAGACTGCGCGGTAACATAATACACCGTCTCGGTTCATTGGTCGTGATATTATTATATCTGTGTTTTGAATAACTATACGCCAATATTCGAATTGGCACGAAGTTCGATTTTTCGTCTGGAGAAATTCAGTCTCGTTACTGTGAGAGTTAAAAAATAAGAAAGTTGCCTTGTTGTAGTACTCTAGCCGATAAACATGACGGAACAGACGAACGGCGAAACCAAAAAGAGCGACTCAGATGTTGTTCAGCCGAAGAATATGGACTTGAGCAGCGCAATAGCCACTGCGGTAAATCATGTCCTAGATGGTTACGACTGGTCTTTAATTCCACTACCTGTGAGAGTAAACGGTGGACATAAACATAAACCGCACGTGAAGAGACCCATGAACGCTTTTATGGTCTGGGCGCAAGCAGCTAGAAGAAAATTAGCTGATCAGTATCCCCATCTACACAACGCTGAACTGAGCAAAACGCTAGGGAAACTTTGGAAACTGCTCAACGATGCTGAGAAGAAACCGTTTATCGAAGAGGCCGAGAGACTCAGGCTGAAACATAAGAGAGAGCATCCCGATTATAAATATCAGCCGCGAAGAAAGAAGCAAAAAGGCAACGGAGGTCCTGATCAACCGGAGGCAACAATCTCAGCTGATGATCTGTTGAAAGTCTTAAAAGGTGATACCCAACTGATGCCCAAATCAGGATGCAGCCAAGACGGCAACTGCGCGAGTCCAGAAAGTAGTTTAAGCGGTGAAGAAGCCAGTAGTCCAGGTTCCAGTAGTTCAGCCACTTCACCGCCAACCACGCCGACTGCCACTGTCAAGTTGGAAGGTGGATTGAAATTCTCTGAGGCGAGCGTGGCGGACCATGAAATCCACGGTCCTTCTTCCAGCTTTGCCGCGTGCCCGAAGAAAACAGAGCCGAACGGAAGCAGTGACAGCAACAGCAATAACGCGCTTGATTTTCACGTTGAAATGGGTGACCTAACCACAGATCTAATGGTGGACACTACAGAATTCGATCAATACCTGCACTCATACACTCAGCCACTGCTCTCAAACCCTCCTTCCTCAGCTTCATCGGTAACCTTCACTTCTCACGGCTTCACTCAAACGCACGGAGCGTCCAAGTTCGTGACAAATAACAATTCTGTCTCGTCCAGCTACACAGAATTTATGGAGCAATTGCAGAAGCTTCCTTCCTCGTACCCGCCGAATCAAGTCGCTCCCTCGGCTCTGCAGCAGAGGAACCAACCTGACAATGGCGCGTTCCAATTCTCGTTCGGCGACACCGAAGTAAGTGGAAACAGTTCTCGACCGTTCACAATTTCCGATGTCCCTTCAATTGTTATTCCTGCTTCGACAACCTCTGCAGCGCAGAACCCGCAGTCATCTCCTTCCCGTATGCACACGCTTGTTTGGAAATGAAGGTTTTGAAGGATCACGAACATTACGAATTTATAGCTCCTGTGGAGCGAGCATTTTAATTTAAAATGAATTTCATTGCATGTCTTCTGATTTTAGAAGCATCAAGGTTTTTTCTACATCCTACCGCGCGCGGGTATTACACGGTTTTAGAAAAATGAACATATTTCTTTTGAAAATAACCAAGCAATTCGTGCGCTTAAAGGCAATTTTATTTTATTTTATCTTATTTCAACGAATTCGCTTTCCTCTTTATAAACTTTTGTACAGTGTTATCGTTTTTGCGTCTGAGAGCTAAAAAAATTTTTATTGCTTAACTGTTTTCTTCGAGACATTAGCTGACAAGCGAGGAAAAAAGAATGCCAGACGCAAGTGTTCTCCGCTATAGCAAAGCTTCCTAGATTTTAATTTGTCGTATTCCCTTACACTCGAGTGGTTGCCAAAGGAAACTTGATTTGCTATTCAATCCACATGTAAATACTAGATCGACAGGGATGATAGCTTTTGTAAACGTCTTGAAGCAATAACCATAGAATTATCTATGTTCATTAAAGTCTGCCTTAGGCAGAACTCGCGTTTTTGTTAGATCTATTATTGGCAGAATAAAGTAGTTTTTTGAAGGTGAAACTTTGGTTTGTTGGTGTGCTGCATCTGTTTTATTGTGGTTTCCCTTTCGACTTAGCAGTCACACTTGGATGCGTTCCACTTCGCCAATGAACCTACAAAGCAAATGTGTGTTTAAGAATTTGTAAAGCAGTTTCACTTCGCCCAAGGATCAAACAAACATTAACCGGCAGTTAGGGGGAATGAAGCTAAAACTTCGAGCCTCAAATCGATCGGAAATACCCACGAAATAGTATAAGTTGGCAACCAGATGGATCTGCAGAAAACCGCATTTGTCACATAACATTGATCATGTACGTGCCCCAATTTGCATTCACATAACATTCAATGCGCATTCTCCGTGACAAGTTTTTCAATGGAGAACAATGCCCAAATAACGTTTTAAATCAAAGGTTTGAGCAGTGCATTTCACCATTTTAATTCCGCGCTGATATAAAATAAATATCGTAAAGCGGATATGGAGGCGAAAGGTTATGGGCGTCACAACCGGATATCACACAGTGTCTAATCGTCAATCTTGTGAGTGACTTTCCAAAAGAGATAGCCGCTCGTTTTATTTGCAAATTATTAGAGCGCAACAAGGAATAATAACAAACATACTGCTTTTAACGAGTCGAGTTAAAAATTGGTGTCAGGTTTCTTTTCAAATGACTGCAACTCAACACCATTGTGAAGCGGTTTGAAATTTTCTCTCTTTTTTTTATCAAAAGGGCAGCGAACCGGAAGCTTCGATGACCGGTGTTTGACATAAAAAATTATCGTTGCGAGTCGTGAAGTTGACACCGAATCTCAACAAAAAAAAAACATACCTGCCAGAGTTAACATCAAAGCTATTTTTTGAAGATATGAATCTGCTAGAGCCGGTAATTAAGAACAGAAAACACGCTAGAGGAACGTAAGCGACACGCAAGCCGATATGCCTTAACATTATACAGCCACTCTGAACACATTGCGATAAAGTAGTGGGTGATCATATGTGTCTAGTCCTGTCTAAGTTTGACTTATATTACCAAAGTAACAGATTTCGAGGCCTGTGAACGAACTCGAAAAAGTGTGTCAACACGACAGTTCGAAAATCCTGCGTCACGGAAATGAATACTGAACCGATTTACTTGGTATATCGTGCTTGTTTAAATCACCGCTCAGATTTTAGTATCGAAATCACGAATCCAGTGTGTTGTCACGAATTTTATTGTGCGACCCCCAAGAGAGATTCAGACAATTCTCTCTAGCATCCGTTCGAGACATGATGTTTTGGCATGTTTGTAGAGATTTTTTAAATAAAATTTGAGACCCGAGCGGTCTGTAAAGTGTAAAGACCGCCGCATTGCGATTTTCTTATTCAAGAATTTTGATTTCGCCTCAGGCGAAAAGCGGGTTGATTATAGAACAATATTTTGTCTCTGATTTTGTCTAAAGCTGATTTCACGGACAAATAGCTCATTTTGGCATGTGGGTTAATAAGAGGCGTTTCTTAAATTAATATGTCCCTTTACCTAACATGCTTTGTTGAGTGACTCCTAAAGGCCGACACTGGATTATTCGGATATATCGCTGTTGAAGTTGGAGACTGGACTGAAATCGGTTGCACCGCGGGTCAGATCAGTAAACATTTGGTCCCTCAGACAGCAGGGATTTACGCGAAAAGGTTAAACAATAACAGATCAACGCAGAAACATAACCAGTCGAGTAAACATGGATGAGTTTGTTTTTGGAGTCGAATTCTTTACTTCTCCGTCTTAAATTTTTTCTGCAAAGATCGTGGGACGATTCGTGCAGATCGGGCCATGTCTAGCTATGCTTGGGTGTAAGTTGACCTGGCAATTTGAATGGCGGACAGCTATGATCTCTTAACTGCGGGAGCTCCATAGAAAATCTTGCCATTCGTTAACTAAATGAGATACGTTTGGAAAATCGAGATAAAAGACGACATTGAAATATTGCACTTGAGTGCGTTTGAATGGAGTGTTTTAAACGATCTGCCAGTTTGTTAAGACCCCTTGCGTACTCACGTTATCAAAAAATCTGGTCGGCATGCAGGCCTTATACAATTACTTGCAAATCACGAGGTTTTCTTCAGATGAGACCTAACATATTTCAAATTTATTAAGGCTGCTGCTTTCCAAATTTCATCGATGCTAAAGTGATTGGCGCAATATTGAACACCATGTTGAAATTAATCTGAAGTTTTGTTACACTATTTAGATTGGCGCGTTCACCATCAAATCTTTTATAGATCTTCGGCAATCAAAATAGTTTTAAATTAATCAGTTTAGTTGTTCCCTTAACATGTTGGTTTTCGTATGTGATTAAAAATTAGTTTGATGCTTGATGGCGGGTCGCGAGACCTCTGCTTAATTGAATTCGAAATTTTAAATGTAATCTATCATATGATCAATTAGGGCTATCAATCTCGTGAAATGTTTTAAGCCTAATCACGTTCGGCCACAATTGTGGCAGACGACACGCCATCGAATCACGAAATTAAGATATTTTTAGTCACTAATTTTCTCACTCAGTAACTCTGTCGAGACATCTGCATGGTAAGTTGTAAAATACGAAATTCCTTTTAGAAATTTTTAACTGTACCTCACCGAATTATTAAAATAAGAAGAGCTGAATTTTTTTTCTTGATGGCGAAATAAGCGATTATCGTCTAATCATGAAAAAATTCCTTTAGTGGCAAACCATTCATACTTTGTGCGACGGTAAGGAGAATATTGCTTTTGAGATGTGAGTTATCTTAGATCGCAGACAGAAAAGTATTTTAATCTTCATTTGTATTCTCATAAGTCAGTTCAATTTTTTTTCGGAATATTTGACAAGAAGCTAGGAAAGAATCCAGCACTTCTTTGCAAAGTGTGCAGCTAGATTGTTCTATGAAAGTGGATCTCTTTAAGAACCTGTTGAGTAAGCACTTTGACACATGTTAAAACGCTCGACCAATATTCACAGGAACAAGCTACACGGAACTTCAATACTCTATAAATACGAGTAAGTACAACGATCTCCTTTTTGTTATTAGAAATCAATCAACTTAGTTAACCATATCAGTAATGTAAGTCAATTATGGGGTAAATACTATACAAGTGCGGCACTACCCAACTCTACCATACTATAAACTGTGTTTCAATCAGCTGTTTTGATAGACTGTGCTTGAAACCGATATGAAACTAGTCATCTATGAAAATCTAGGCCAGAACTGTGCGTGGATCGTATGTAGTGTACTGACGGGACCTTACACATTATCCTTGCTTGCTATCTGATATGGAGAATTGTGATTGAGTTTATCTCTCTTTACAACTTGTCATACATTTCTTTTATCCAGTTCTAAAACCTCGTGACTCTTCTTGCAAACAGTATGCAAACTTATTAATTTACCACTTGGCTGAGTTAGCTGAGCGCCAAGGACTACATACTCTGCACCACAAATTTCAACTTAGAACAATTTTCATCATCGGAAAAGTAAACGGTTCGAAATTTCTCATAGATACTAATAAACGTTTGAAGAGGAGCACAAAAGGGCACAGTAAAAAATACCCAGCTGGTGAGCGACACTGAAGTGCAGCTCAACATTATTAAATTCAAATTCAACTGCAAATTGAAATTTTCCTCCTCAGCAATCCATAGGGTTCTCTTCCAACAAATCATTGGAATTTGTTTTCTTTACGGGGTATTACATAGCCTTAGTTTTGTTACTGTCTCTCTGAATTGATCGATTTGTGTGTTTATCGCTAAACTAACCACCTCTATCATGAGGTAAGATGCCAAAGAAGTCCGTGACTTAGCGATGGAGTCCCTGATGTGGTGATTTATGTTGAATATCTTAAGGCCACGGATTCAATTCTATTTACTTGGTCACACTTTCGATTGATTTCGTTTTTAAAAATAAATCTTTCCTTAAGTTTTCAACCCAAATGGCGACGTTACGCTATTTTTAATCACGTCACGCATGTGAATCCCTAGGTCACGCTATCGTATCAACAAGTCACGCTATAGTAATAACAGGTCACGCTATCATATCAACAAGTCACGCTATCGAATCAACAAGTCAAGCACGTCTGATTTAATTTTAGCGACGCAATTTTCTCTAGATATGAAACAAACAAATTTCTCAAAAAAACATTCCGTTATTTGGACGTACATCACCCTATTTTTTGTCAATTCAGCCGAAGCATTTGGTTTTGTTACGGGACGTTTTTGTTAAAGTAACTTGGTCAAGTCACCCAACGTTGCAGTCAGTGTGCGATTTAATTACTTGTTGGTCCGAATTTGATGGACTCTTTGAATTATTTCAGACGATCCAGTCAAGAAATATTGTCAACGTTTGCTACCTGGACCTAAACATCTCAGCTAATTTCAGTGCTGCAAGGTCACATAACCTGAATGGATCCTGTTAGACAAAGAGCAAGTCACGCCAATCACATCGATCCGGCAACGAAATAATATTGGGCTAAACATTCTTTAGATCAAGCCATTTTAGGTAATGTTGATTCCGCGTGGGTTAGTTCTTAATGTATATCTGTTAGTTCACGCATATTTAGGAACACATGCTCAGTCACACAATGCACTTACTGTGATTCTGTGACATAATAAACCTGAAGGGGGCACGGTCATGCCATTTCAGGTGATTTTGTGACGAAGTGATCTAACGTTGGTCCGGTCACGCCGAGGTAATTCTGCGTCAATTAAGGTCATTTCCTGTCTAATAAAAATAAATATGAGATCTGCGACAGATACACACACACGGCCCACACCACATTCGAATCTAATCAATCTGTTTTATTAGAAGCTTCTTTTGGATCGGATGCGTCACGCTATCCATCCTACGAAAGATGATCTTCAACGGGCTAAGTCACGCAATGTTTGGTTTTCTTTCCCGGTTCATGCCCAAAAAATTTTTCTATGTACACTATGCAATTTTGTTACTGATCGGCTGCAAAAGTCTTGCTTTATTGGGCTCACAGTCAACGTGAGGTCGCGTTGTGAGCAAACTGCAATAAGGTCACACAGTCCTTTTCCTTTGTTTTTTGTTTTTTTGTTTTTTGTTTTTTGTTTTTTTGTTTTTTGTTTTTTGTTTTTTGTTTTTTTGTTTTTTTGTTTTTTGTTTTGTTTGGTTTGTGAGATTTCAAAGACTAAACCGTTGTCCGAGAAGAAATGAATTTTGTCGTTAAAAATAATTTTTTTCCCGTAGGAAGAAAGAGAATGACTTAAATCTTGACTACAGAAAACTTCAATTCAGTGAACTGAAACCCAGAATGCCGAAGAAAAGCCTCAGATTAAAGAAAATATTATACATTTTGTCACAAACGAAGGATTGAACCTTCGGAGGTTGGGAAGTTAGATTTTTCTTGATCCTAAGCTCGTGCAAAAAAAGGAATGACACCTTTCTCCATTTGAAAAGTGAGCTCAAAATTTATCATCTTTCTTACTGTCTAGTCTTTCATTGTTTATGTTTACAGACGTTTACATGGCGGAGAAGGTAGAATATATTTTTAACTATACGAATTGCAGTACATTTTTTAGCAGTTTCTTAACTGAAATAACACAAAGCTGAATTTCAGTTGAAAGATTATCGAATCGAGAGAGTGCTGTACAGTTAAGTACAATACAGTTGTCATCTTTCACGAACTTGGGATGAAAATAAATTTTAAGTACCCCTAGGGAAGATTTGAAATCGAGGCGTTCGGATTTCGCAGTTAGATGCTCTATCACTGAGCTCCAGGAAAATCTACGGTAAATCAGGGTGTTAGAAGGCTCGTGTCTGACAATGTAGAGAGCACCGTATGTGTGACTAAAACAAGAATGACTGTTGAGCTTGGTTGTCGAATAAAAGGATACTAGTTTGATGCTAGCATTAAGTTCGGTTTCGATTAAAATTAAGAACCACCGTTCGGGAGATTGCGAATTCTCATTTTGCGGTTGTTGCTTAATTCGTTTTTTATTTGCTTTGTTTTTGTTCATCCATTGCCTTCATAATTGTGTAATGAGACGATTTTGCTCAGAGTTAACAGATAGCTTTGTTTTAAGGTCAAGGTAAGCAAGACTGCTGAAAAACAATGTCAAATGACAAGCAAAGGATATCTAATATCTCACTGCCGAAACTGCAGTCCAGATGGGGTGTGTAGTTGATCATAATAGGATAAGATAAAAGAAGTCAGCAAAGTGCTCTCTCCTAATCTAGTCTAGCCATTTTCAAGAGCCGCGTTCTACTTCAGAAACAGGGGTAGGGAGTTAAAAGAAAAAGCGAGACTCACATGACGTCGATTCACCCTGTTTGAAAATCCGAGACCATGACTAATCGATTTTTAACCAAACATCTCCTTATTTTTATCGTCGACTTTACTTAGATTTTTGGAACGCTCTACTAACCACATTAAAATATCGCTATTGGGTCTTTTGCGTTTGTTTTGTGGTATGTAAGACACTATATCGCTCTGGATATTTTCAAACAACAGTATGTGCAATACAAATGCTACCATTTGACCTTTACACTCGAGCATGTGGAAAAATTTCAGACTTTGACTTTGATTATCGGGAAGGAGTGTAAGACTTCGAGACAGAAATGAAAGGCTACTGAGATGTCGAGATGGGATAAAGAGTTGGCAAGACCCGCGATCTTTCAAAGTACAGTTCAACACCCTTAACATGGCTGATTGATCTGCTTGGAGGGTCAGTTCTAACAGCCGATAGAGGGACTAATTCTGGCCGAGCCGAGCCGCCCCTATTTCTTTGAGTGCTAACCATTTCTCATCTCGATCAAGCGACTGCTAATCAGTTTATGCCCGTGAGGTTTGAGGACTAAGTGATGCACACGATATGGCTTTGAAAACTCGCGAGAGAGCACAATTCAGTAACACAATCGTAAACACAAAAAAAGGACTCTTTCCATCCATTTCCACGTAAGAAGCTGTTGTTTAACTTTGGTCAAACCTCGCATGTGGAAAACACTTGAGAAAATTAAAGCTGCGATTAACTTTTTTATCGGAGATCAACAAACGTCATTTGATGAATTTGCCAAAAGTCCACGATGAGTCCCTCGGCAGGGACAAAACTTTCCTCGTAAGTCAGACGAGCAAAATATCCGATGTTAATAGTCTTCCTTAGTAAAACTCTGATTCGACCACATGCAAATCTGATTTGGATCGATTAATTTTGAGATGCTTCGAAACAACAAGAATCATCAAAATTCTGCCGAAAAAATGAAACGAACGAGACTTGGTTGCATATAATCTGCAAAGTTCACTGTGTGAAACAACACCTCCTACGTAAAAATTGCTTTTATCTCCAAAAAACTTGCTTTCTTTTTGGTGATTGACTCTTATTTTCATTTACAGCAGCCAATGAGAATTTGGTTTTACATCCGGAAGATACCGCTACTAACGAATTTCTCGATGTTATAATTGCAGGTAAAATTGAACCTCTCCTTGTTCGCAAATTTATTTTCGATTATCACGTGGAAGAACGAAATTTCTGGATTCTTTTGCTTTCGATGGATTGAAAAACTTCAGATAACTCTCAATCTAAGCGTTTGATATTTTAAAATAATGTATTCTTTCCAACATCTGAAAAAATAGGTATTTTATCGTTGGATTTATATGTGCGGTGTTTTCCTTAAGCAAATCGACATTAATTAGTGCCTTTTTTTGCAATTTTTTTCGAAACAAATAGTTTCCTAAAAAGCCTTTGTTTGCAACTTAAGAGTTGAATTCCTTTGAATAGTATATATGGCTCCGCCTAATACAAAGGCGTACTCTTTTTGTTATGGAAAGATTTGATATTGGGTTAACGCGGAGGCAATCAATGCAAGCTATTCTGAGTTTATTCTATTCTGAGTATTACTTCACGCTTTCCAGCAAATCATTCTTCCACATTTTCATTTTCTCGTCTCCTACTTCGTCAACAAACAGGAAAACTAGATTCGTCTGCTACAAATCTGGAAAGATCTTTATATCATTGACATCCTCACGTATTCTTTCGTCAGTGTAACATAATGAAGTACTTCGGTGGATAAATCTTATCGTGGACAAAAATGTGAATGGAAATCTTTAATTGACGACCCATTTATTACAAGCACATTCGATTGCGGAAAATATATGTTACACGAGGTGTAAATCCTACTGTGTGGATTTCTGATTCTCCCAATATAGCAAAGTGCAAAACATCGTACCTTGTGATTTTAAGGCTACCCGAGGAAAATTTTCTGGCGTTATCTTTTCCTGTTGTTTTGTCTTAAAAAATCAATGTTAACCACAACGTTATTGTAGAATTCGACGAAGGGAAAATGAAACAAGTCGATTTGATGGTTATTTTTTTTAAAGAGCAAAAACAATGGAACAATATTAGTCTGACAAACATCACCTTTTGTGGCTGTACACGTTTCGATATTTCAGAAATTTTTTCTTAAAACCCTGAATAACTTGGAGTGGTCAAAAAGTAAACACTGTATTGTAATTTCCTAAGCTTCCGTAGCGAAAAATCTAGAATAAATAAGACCTGTGTACAATACATGGGTGTTTGTAACCCGCCGGTCAGAGGATCCATTATTCAGCAATTTGTTGTTCAGTTAGAAGCTTACATTAACCAAAGAACCTCAAAATTGACTTGAGAACCTTGAATTTTACAGCTGTTTTCCTGACGTACCTTGTATTAGTTGTTATTGGGTTCCGCTTTGGTCGACAAAACCTCATTCAAAGTCGTTGCAGTACAATTACATTTCGCACGGAGGTGAAAGCAAACAATACTTGTCGTGCCCGAGTTCAGACATGTCAAGCTACGTTAGAGCTACTTTGCTCATTTTCCCGTTCGTTGGTTGGGTTCGCTGTCGAAAAGCACGTTCGTAGCGGTAGACATACTCGTCAATAATACTTTAAACAGGAGAAGAACAACGAATGGTGTCAAGTCATTCCTCCCACAACGGAAATTATCCGCTACAAAACAAACGTGGATTGGCCGTTTAATGTATATAATAACATCACTGACATAACTGAAATGCCATATAAGAAAGCAATCATTGTTAGCCCAAGCATCAATAGAATCCTTATTGTACTTTGAAAAGACAATGTTACCAAGGCAACTACATTCCTGATCATTCGCTTCCCACGCACAGTCGCCTTATTTGGGAAAATCTTTAGGGTGTTTTTCGATTTCTCGCGCCGAATAGCTGCCGAGTCCACTAAAATACATCCGTTAAAAATTAACTAACCAGCTAGGATGCGAAACCAAACGTCTCAAACTCTGCCCTGTCTTTGTTGTTGCATTGAAAATGGCTATTGAGGTAATCTGGGCTTAGTTAGATTATGAAGACTTTACAGACACGAATAAATTTTAAGTTGTTTTTCTGCATTATTGAGATTTTTTAAACCTTTATGAAGATTGTACTTATTTTGTAACTGTTTTGTAACCCTCAGCTCCAGGGGCATGATCTTTCTGAGCAAAGGTGATTAAAACAATATCACATGTTTGCTGTGGTTTTTTTTTTGCTCACGATGAC